TGTTAATTTTGGTTCTTTCTTCTTTTTGGATATGTGCATTTATCACAATAAATTGTCCTCCCAGAAGTCTAGTAGGGGTTCTGTTGGTGCCACTTTCTAACCAACAGATTTCTATGCTCTCCTCTCAACCTCTCACCTTCCTGCACTTGTAATTTCTGTGTAGCAACCAGAAATGTAACATGGGATGTATGTCAATAATGTGTAATGTTAACAAATTGGTGGTGGTGGTGTGCTGTGGAGTCAGTTCTGACTCATAGTGACCCTGCATGGGGTTTCAGAGGTTGTAAATCTTTACGGGAGCAGAAAGCCTCATCTTTCTCCTGAGGAACAGCTGGTCGCTTCAAACTGCTGACTTTGAGGTTAGCAGCCTGACTGGTAACCACTACACTATCAGAGCTTCAGGAAGTCAGCTAGGATTTCAAAGACTTAGGTAGGATAAACACTGCACTGCTAACTATGAAGCCAGCAGGTCAAACCCATCAAACCACTCCTTGGAAACCCTATGTAGGTAGGGTCACTATGAGTCAGAACCAACTCAAGGGCACTTAAGAACAACATTGAATTATTTAAACTCTTAATTTTACAAATAAGAACATTTGAGGCTCAGGTTAGCTAATGTTGTTGTTAAGTGCTGTCGAGTTGATTCCAGCCCATAGTGACCCTGTATAGGGTTTCCAAGGAGCAGCTGGTGAGCTTGAACCACCAACCTTGCAGTTCAAACAGCTTTGCAGTCTGACGCATTAGTCCATAGCACCACACCAGGATAGGTTGCTTAAATTGTATAGTCACTAGTAAAATCCTAATTTTATTTGCATCATAATTTAGTGTTCTCCCCAGTTTATTAAATAGTAAAACCTCTTGATAATAAGGTTGTCAGAAGCTGTTGGTGCAATGGTTAAGTTTTCAGCTGGTAATAGAAAAGTTGAAGTTAAGAATCTACCAATCACTCAGATTTGTTCCCATAAAGATTACAGCCTGGAAAACTCTCTGGGACAGTTTTACTCTGTCCTATAGGATTATTATGTGTTAGAATTGACTTGACAAAATACAACAACAATAAGGTTACCAGGGTTAGAAAAAAAATAAATGTGAACTACCCAGAGCAGAGAGACACATACTCAATATCAAAGATTACAAAGTAAATATCTGTGCTTTTACTTTTTATTTTATTTTATTTTATTTTGCCTAGTTTATTTCTGTAATTTTTATTGCCACCTTTTTTTTTGGTTTCCCATATTCCTATGCACACTGAATAAATAAAAATGACATTTAGCTCTACCAGTTTACAGGAAACAGCTTTGTTCTATACAGTGCACTTAATTTTCTGGCCAATTACCTTATCAAAACAGATAGCAATTGAGTAATCTTAAGTATAGTCTTTCTCTATTCCCTTTCCAACTCTGCTGCTTTTATTCACATGCGCCCCCCAGTGTGATTTTGAAGATAATCACAGACATTTCAAATTGTACTGCTTTGCAGACCAACCAAGTTTTACATTACCTCTAATGTGGATGAAAGCACTTTGCAAATGCTAATTTATCGCTATGCCCTCAAAGTGTAAGGCAAACTCATTTACTCACAGAAGTAATCATCAGATACCAGAAACATTACCATTTCTGAGGAACTATAATCTTTTACGCTGATAAAAGAAGTTTTATTCAATACTGTTAAGGGCTTGCATATGAAAATATTTGACAAAATGTTAGTCATTTGACATGGTAAAGAAACAAAACAGTAGGCTTTAAGCCAAGATTTAGAGCAGGTGAAATAAATGGCCCCAGATTGAATAACAAATGCTCAATAACATATTCCTGAAGCTATAGTTCTGATCACAAGATCCTAACAGGCCTGGAGCACGGCCATCTTTATGATATGAGTGGTTACATCCAGCAAAGTGCCTGGCACAGAGGAAAAACAATGAATACTTGTTAAAGGAATCATTCACTGAATTCACATTATCCTCTCATCATCACGTAATGTTTTGAAAACATTAAGCAAGAATTGAATCAAGCAGGGGAGAATGCATTTACAAATTCTTTCCATTTCTTCTCCTCCTACAGAAAACGCCAGATCAAACCCACTGCCATAGAGTAGATTGTGACTCGTAGCCACTCTATATGGGACAGCATAGAAGCCTGCTCCTTAGGGATTCGGAGACTGTAAATCTTTACAGAAACAGGCAACCTCATTTTTCTCCCTCTGAGCAACTGGTGTGTTTCAACCACCAACTCTGCTGTAGCAGCTGCTTAATCCACAGGGTCACCAGGTCTCCTCAAAGTCAGTTTTCTAGAAGAGCAGTTGGGTATAGCAAATAGTTAAGCATTCTACTACAAGTCAAAAGGTTGGTAGTTCAACTCCATCCAGGGGTACCTCCAAAGAAAGTCCTGGTGATCTGCTTCAGAAAAGCCATAGCCTTGAAAACCCTACAGACTTGATCTGCTCAATTACACATGAGTTGTAATTGACTTGAAGGCTACTGGTTTTTAATTTTCCATCATTCCACAAGATAGTATAAGTTGTAATTGTTATTAAATGCCATCAAGACAGTTCTAACTCCTAGTGACCCTGCATAAGGCTTCCAAGGTGCAACTGGTGGGATAATATAAATAGGAAATATTCATTTCACCTCAGGTACTACTAACTGGGACTTTTAAAATGGGGACAAAAAAAAAAAGAAACATGGACAGAATGACATAACTTTTCCATAGTATGAATTCTCACATACTCCCAAGAAAAAAGTGAGTATAATCAGTTTAAATTCTATCATCTCTATTCTATGAGAGTTATAAATGGAGCCACAAAAGGCAGAAAGAAAAGACAACTGTGCCCTCTACCCAATTCTGCCACTAACTTTAACATAACTTTCTATGGCTCAATTCCTCATTCATTAAAGGATTTTTTCTTGAAGAAAAAAAGAAATCCTAAAGCCAAGATCATCTTGCTTCTATGATCCACTTATTCTTTAAGGCACTGGGACAACTTTGAGAGTGGATAACTTCGTCAAAGCTAATTTTATTGGGAAGCGATCGGGTAGAGCAAATGGTTAAGCACTCTACTACAAGTCAAAAGTTTGGCAGTTTAAATCCACCCAGGCTACCTCAAAATAAGTGCCTGGTAATCCACTTCCAAGGAGTACTGGTATGGTGCTATGGGTTAATGGGCTGGACTGCAAGGTTCAAGCTTACCAGCTGCTCCTCAGAAACCCTCTACAGGGTCAATATGAGTCAGAACTAACTCCACAGCACTTAACAACAACAATACACTTCCAAAAGATCATGGCCTTGAAATCCTGTAGACTCAGTTTTACTTCTGCACATATGGTTACCAGAGATGATGTTTAATCACTTTAGTCCCAAGGAGACCCCAAGTCCACTCTGATTCCAATTCAGTAGAATCAGCCATTTTTGTTCTTCTCTAAGCCATTATGTTGCACTGTGCATATACAAGTTCTCATTTAGATATTGATGTTGTTGTTAAGTGCCATCAAATAGATTCTGACACAAAGCCACCCTTTGTAGGGTTTCCGAAGCTGTAAATCTTTGTGGGAGCAGAAAGCCTCTAATTCTTAAATAAGAGTAAAATAATAGAGCCATATATCAACCATTTTCTCAGTATTAAACTTGCACTAGGATTCCTGGTGTAATGGTGTAGGGTGTAGAGTGGTGTGTGGTGGACTATTACCCCATAGGTCAGCAGTGTAAACACACCAGCTGCTCCTTGGAAACCCTATACAGATCCTCTGTAAGTTGAAACCAACTTGAAGGCACTTAACCACAACAACAAACATGCACTCAGCCTTGGTACAGTGTTATAGGATAAGCACTGGACTGCTGCCTGTAAGGTCTGTGGCCCAAACCCATCAACTGCTCTAGGAAACACTATGTAGGGTCACTATGAGTTTGAACCAACATGATGGCACACAGCCACAACAACAACCCTAGCAGCTATGGACAGATCTTTAAGCAATCATGTACCAAAAGTTTCCAAGGAGATCAAGGAATAACTCCATAGACTTGGACAGAGCCCTGGGATTAAGCAAACAGTTGTAGGAAATGTCCCTTAGAAGCCAGTTCATCCATACATGCTTATACTTCACCAAATAGTGTTGAATAGAACGGGATTCTGTGATTTCCTTGGTCAACATGTGCATTCAGTGGCAATTATTTATCTCAAAGCAACCAGCCTGCCATCCTTGACCCTTTGCTACACAGGAATCATCTAGGTCCTACTTATATTTCATGAAGACAATGAATAAGCATTGTACTAATATCTAAATGAGGAAGGCAGCTGAGAATCACAGAATCGTGGTTCGATCCCACCAGCTGTTCTACAGGAGAAAGATGAGGCTTTCTGCTCCCACAAGGATGTACAGCCTCAAAAGCCCTATACAGGGTCGCTATGAGTTGAAATCAACTTAATGGCACTTAACACCACATCAATATCTAAATGAGAACTTGTATCTGCACAGTGCAACATAATGTGCATGCATTACTGTAATCAACCTCACTGCAGCCCTATCAGAGTCCTGGTGTGGTGCTGTAGGATAAATACTGGACTGCAAGGTCAGTTTGAACCTCAAGGTGGCGCTTCAAATCCACCCGCTACTCCTCAGAAAGCCTACCCAGGGTCGCTATAAGTAGAAACTCAAACGCACTTAACAACAGCCCTATGTGGTAAATATTATTGTGATACCTATTTTACAGTCTCTTAATTTTACCAAAGGAGCTCTTGTAGCGTACTGGTTACGAATCAGGCTGCGAGCCGCAAGGTCAGCAGTTCGAAACTACCAGCTGCTCCTCGGGAGAAAGATGAGGCTTTCTGCTCCCGTAAAGATTTGCAGCCTCTGAAACCCTGTGCAGGGTCGCTATGAGTCGGAACCGACTCGACGGCACTTAATAATAACAACAATTTTACCCATCTTCTGCTAGCCTGCTCAGAGTTTACATTTTCAACTCAGCCCCAGGCCATGCCCTAGACCAGCGCTTCATCAGGCGCTTTACCTGGCGAGGACACGGAGGTCGAACTTGGCTCGAAAGCGGACCACCTGCATCCTCTGAGCTGCCAGGGCCACCGCTGCGGATCCAGGCTCAGCGCCTGTAGCGTGACCTTGACCCTCCTGCTTGACTCCGACCAGCGCAGGCGACTCCGGGACGACCTTCCTGCTGGCGCCACAACCCATCCCCAGCAGCATGTGCCCCACCGCGCTCCAGAAAAGGGCCCGTGGCTCCCGGAAAGAGGGGACTCTGAGGGGGCCGCCCTTTTATCCCCAGAACAACTGAGAGGGGGCGGGACAGAGCGACTCACCTATTAAGGCCCAAACCAAGTGGGCTCATTGCTGGGGAATGCATTCCCAGTCAGTGACCCTATAGAACAGAGTTGAACTAACCGCACCTTACGGGTTCTGAAGCAGACTGCCTCATTTTCTCTCACAGAGGGGCTAGTGGTTCCAACAGCCTATCGTTAGTAACACAGTGCCTAACCCACTGCATCACCAGTGCTCCAAAAGAAAGTCTAATGTGAGGTCTTTGTTAGGATTAAAAGGAAAAAAAATAATAATAACAACTTTGAGTTGATTCCAACTCATATATAGGGTTTCTGAGGCTGTAAATCTTTATGGAAGCAGACAGCCTAGTTTTCCTGTGAGAAGCAGCTGACCCTGTGGTTAACAGTCCAGCATCACCAGGAAAATAACCCTCAAAATTCCCCCGCTGACCGCCCTGACCTTGATCATCACTGGCCACTTATAAAAATATAGAGTTAAACACAGTGAAAGCGAAAAGGACGATAAGGCAGGTAAGAAGCTTGTACTCAATTCTGTGAGCTTCAATTTCCTCATCTGTAAAATTAGTCAATTAACATAAAAGCATTTGATTCTGTGAAGGATACCTTTCCTCTACAAGGCTTTTCATGTCTCAATGGCTGAGCACATATTTAGATAGCAGGGACATCAACTGTATTCTTTAAAAGTCTCTAAGAGTTTATAATATTTAAACTATAAAATGTATTTGTACCTCATTGCATTAAGTATGAGTCAGAACTAACTTGAGGACACTTAAGAACAAAAAGGAGCCCACATGGCGCTGTAGGATAAGCACTGGACTGCAAGGTGGACAGCGTAAAGCTACCAGTCAATCAGCAGGAGAAAGATGAGGCTTTCTGCTCCCATAAAGATTTACACAGGCTCTCTGTGAGTCAGAATCAGCACGGTGGCAATGGGTATTAGTTGCCTTGAAGTTGGTTATGACTCATGGGGAAGCTATGAATTCAGAGTAGAATTGTTCCATGTGATATTCAAGGCTGTGGCATTTCAGAAGTAGATTCCAACCATCAGCTTTTTGACCAGTAGTACAGTGCTTAGTCATTTGTGTCACTTCAGGAATTCCTATAAAGAAATATAAATACTTAATGTAAACATGGAGACCTGGTGTGGTACCTTAGGATAAGCGCTCAACCTCAAGTTTGGTTTGAACCACAAGGACAATGGTTCAAACTCACCGGCCGCTCCTCAGAAACCCTATAAAGGGTTGCTATGAGTTGTGACTGACTTGTCGGCACTTAACAACAACAATGTAAATATGGAGTCCTGATGTGGTACTGTAGGATAAGCAGTGGGCCACAAGGTCAATTTGAACTACCAGATCAGCAGTTCAAACTCACCAGCTGCTCCAATGCAGAGTTGCTGTGAGTTGAAACTGACTCGAGAGCACTTAAAAACAACAATGTAAAACAGATATACTTAAATGCTAAATACTATTTATAATTTTATATATCCATTCTTGTATTCATATGCAAGTATATATTATATGTGAGTGTGTATTTAGGTTACTCATTCCTTGCATATATGCAAGTGTATATATGTATATACACATATGTATATATGCAAGTGTGTGTTTAGGTACGGGAACATGTAATTTTGATGTATAGGAAGCAAAATTCAGTCAAGTTAAATCACCACACTAGCAAATTGTAGAAGCAGAACTTCCAGTCCAGCGCTCTTTCAATTGTGTCACGTTTCCTTTATGATTTCATTTCTTTTCAAGTTTATTTTAACAGGGACAGCAGGGAAGTGAATTAACCATGGCTTCTCCCAGGAGAACTGAATTTTCTGAAAACTCTGAAATATGAGTTGATTTTAGCATAGAAAAAATTCTATCCATCCTGCAAAAAAGAGTAGCACTTGCTATCAAGTAAAGGACTCTACTTCATAAAGAATCCTTAGAATTCTCCAAGTACTAGAAAGTTGGTTTTAAGCAAGTGAACAACTCATGTTTTTGTGCCTCTAGTTCTTTGAACTAATGCACAGGATGGACTATGTAAACAGAGTAGAAAAGACAAGAGAGAGCCAATGAAGAGAAATAAAATATTAAAGTACAGCTCAGAGAACAGAATCTACTCCTCAGAGCTCTCTGCTGTACGGGTTGTTTGGATAACTGCTGTCTAGCAAATAGGAAGCACCCACAATAAAGTATAAACCTAGACAGCAGTTGAAGGCATCAGACAATTCCACAAGGCATTCACTCAGCATGTCTGGGGGTTCTTCTGCAGCAAACTGCTTCATAGCAAGCTGCAGAAACCTCTCCTTCCAAGCCCCAGCTGGCCGCACAGCAGGGAAAGCTTTGTCAAGAGCCTTCCCCTAAGTCTGAACCATGTTCCATGAGAATTGCTTAATACAGTCATTGATTTTAAAGCCCTTGAAAATGAGAACATTAATAGCAAACACTGATTAGGTCTTTTCTGGAAAGCACCAACTATTAACTGGAAGCATTGTTAAGAATACAAATTCTGTCCTTGAAGACAAAAGTTCCCTTTGGCTTTAAAGGGTTTCCACCAAGCTTTGAAATATTAAAATGATCATAATCATATTTTGTTGCCCTGAGTAACCCCAGAGAAAGCATAATACCTAAAGTAAACTACAGAATAATGTCTTACTATATGGACTCGCCCACATTTATTTTTCTTCTTTGTGCATAATTACTTCATTATATGTGAGACCACTCAAGCATTGTTTGCAACCACTTGATATTAATGAGCCGGATAGCAAAGCTTGTTTGAACTGCAAGGTCAGAGGTTCAAGCTCACCAGTCACTTCTTGGACACCCTACTGTGTATGGAAGCTGTGGATCAGAACCGACTCGACAGTACTTACTAACAACAACATTTAAATCATGCTTATCCTAACTAAACTAATAAAACAATTAAAATGAACTTTTGATTTAAGGAGAATTTTAAATGAACTTGTATTTTTATATCAATATGCTTAGCACTTTGTAAGTGACTTTCTGTAAAACTCCTTGGTGGTGCTATTAAGTGCCATGGAGTGTAGTACAACTCACAGCGACCATGTATAGGGTTTCCAAGGAGCAGCCGGTGAGTTTGAACCACCGACCTTGAGGTTCAAACGGACCTTGTGGTCCAGCGCTTATCCTACAGTGCCACACCAGGACTCCAACACTCATACAGCTGAATAAACAGCTGGTTCTGTGAACTTCAATGTTGTTTTCTGAAGAGTAAATAAATTGAACCACAAGCTTCTAAACAAGAAATCTTACCTCATCCTCAACTCCTGATTATGGCCCAAAATTCACAATGCCATCCAGGATAGTCAGTAATAACTTTCTTAACAATATGTAATGCTGCTTTTGTTAGATGGTGTCAAGTGGGTTACAACCCGTAGTGACTCTATACAACAGAACAAAACACCGCCTGGTCCTTCACTATCCTCACAATTGTTGCTACTATTGGATCCACTGCTGTTACCACTGTGCCAATTCATCTCATTGAGGGTCCCCCACTTTTTCACTTACCTTTCATTTTACCAAGCACGATGCTCTTCTCCAGGGACTGGTACCTCCTGATAATACATATGTCTGTAGTATGAGAGATGAATCTGGCCATTTTGGCTTCTAAGCAACATTCTGGTTGTACTTCTTCCAACGAGTTTGTTTGTTCTCCTAGCAGTCTATGGTACCTTTAATATTCTTCTCCAACACCATA